TATCAAATCAAATTCAGCAGCATAGTAAAAGAGTTCATCATAAATCAATTGAGATTTATTCTTGGAATGCAAGGACAATTCAAGATATGAAAATCAATCAATTTAATATAAGTCATTAACAGAACAAAGGGAAAAAACCAACATGATCATTTCAACTGATACAGAAAAAGCATTTGACAAAATTCAACTTCCTTTCATAAAAATACTCATCCAACTAGGAAGAGAAGATAACTATACATCAACATAATAAAAGCCATATATGAAAACTCCACAGCAAACATCATATTCAATGGTGAAAGACTGAAAGCTGGCCAGGCGCGGTGGCTCACGCCTGTAATCCCAGCACTTTGGGAGGCCAAGGCAGGTGGATGATGAGGTCAGGAGTTCGAGACGAGCCTGGCCTACACGGTGAAACCCTGTCTCTTATAAAAATACAAAAATTAGCCGGGCATGATGGCATGTGCCTGTAGTCCCAGTTGCTCAGGAGGCTGTGGCAGGAAAATCGCTTGAACCTGGGAGGTGGATGTTGAAGTGAGCTGAGATCACGCCACTGCACTCCAGCCTGGGCAACAGAGCAAGACTCTGTCTCAAAAAGAAAAAGAAAGACTGAAAGATTTTCCTCTAAGTTCACTAACAAGGCAAAGATTTCTGCTTTTGCCACTTCTATTCAACATATAACTGGATGTTACAGAGTAATTAGACAAGACAAAGAAATAGGATTCTAAATTAAAAAGGAAGAACTAAAATTACCTGTTTGAAGATGATATGATCTTACATGTAGAAAATTCTAATGATTCCACAAAAAACTTTTAGAACTAATAAATGAATTCAGCACAGTAACAGGATGCAAAGTCAACACACAAAAATCAGTTGCATTTCTATATACTTACAATGACTAATCTGAAAATAAAAATTATGAAAATAATTCAATTTATCAGTGTGAAAAGAATAAAATATACAGAAATTAAATTAACGAAGGAGATGAAAGATTTGTACAATGAAAACTAAAAAACACTGCCAAAGAAAATTAAAGATGACATCAACAATTGGAAACACATCCCATATTCATGGATTGGAAGATTTAATATTAAGATTTGGGTAGTGTCAACACTACCCAAAGTGATCTACACAATCCCTATTATCATCTCAAAGGTGTCTTTTGGAGAAAGACACCTTTCTCCATGAGAAAAACCCATCCTACAATGCATATAAAATCTCAAGGGATCTCAAATAGTGAAAACAACCTTAAAAAAGAGGAATGGGGCTGGATGTGGTGGCTCATGCCTGTAATCCAGCACTCTGGGAGGCCGAGGTGGGCGGATCACTTGAGGTCAGGAGTTCGAGACCAGCCTAGCTAACATGGTGAAACCTCGTCTCTACTAAAAATATAAAAAATTAGCCAGGCATGGTGGTAGGCGCCTTTAGTCTCAGCAACTTGGGAGGCTGAGAAAGGAGAATCACTTGAACCCAGGAGGTAGAGGTTGAAGTGAGCCAAGATTGTGCCACTGTACTCCAGCCTGGGCAACAGACCAAGACTTAATCTCAAAAAAAAAAAAAGAGGAATGAAGGTAGAGGACCCAAAATCCCTAATTTAAACTTACTGCAAAGCTACAATAATCAAAATACTACAGTTCTGGCATAAAGACAGATGTGTATATAAAAAAAATTTTTTTACGACAGATGTATAGAACAATGGAATAGGATAAAGAGATAAAAACTAACCCTTGCCTACATAGTCAAATGATTTTTGACAAGGGTGTCAAAATCATTCACAATGGGGAAAGGGCAGTCTTATTAAGAAATTATGCTTGGAAAGCTAGATTTCCACATGCAAAAAAATAAAGTTGGACCATCACCTAACACCATACAAAAATTAACTCGAAATGGATCAAAGACTGAAATGTAAATGTAAAACAACATAACACTTAGAAGAAAATACAGGTCAAAAGTTTTATGACAATATATTTAGCAATGATTTCCGGGCTATGACTCCAAAGGCACAGCCAACAAAACAAAAAAGTTGGCTGGGTGCGGTGGCTCATGCCTATAATCCCTGCACTTTGGGAGCCTCAGGTGGGTGGATCACCTGAGGTCAGGATTTCAAGACTAGCCTGGCCAACATGATGAAACCCCATCTCTACTAAAAGTACAAAAATTAGCTGGGTGTGGTGGCGCATGCCTGTAATCCCAGCTACTCAAGAGGCTGAGGCAGGAGAATTGCTTGAACCCAGGAAGCGGAGGTTGCAGTGAGCTGAGATCACGCCACTGCACTCCAGTCTGGGCAACAAGAGCAAAATTCCATCTCAAAAAAAAAAAACTGACAAACTGGGCGGCATGAAAATTTTAAAATATTAACATGACACTGAAGGAAGAAAATAGAAAAATAAAAAGAAAAAGAAAAAAAAAAGATACTATCAACAGCATAAAAAGGCAACCCAGAGAATGGGAGAAAATATTTGCAAATAATATATCTGATAACAAATTAATATATTGAATACATAAAGGATTTCTAAATCTCCACAACAACAACATCCTATTTGAAAATGGGCCCCATAAAGAGGGCCAATTACTTAAATAAACATTTCTTCAAAGAAGACATAGGAATAGCTAATAAGCATAAGAAAAGAAGCTCTACATCACTAATCGTTAGGGAAATAAAAGTCAAAACCACATTTTTACATCCTTTAGGATGGCTATGATTAAAAAACAGAACAAGGCCAGGCATGGTGACTCATGCCTCTGGGAGGCTGAGGCAGGAGGATCACCTGAGGTAAGGAGTTCAAGACCAGCCTGGCCAAAATGGTGAAACATTGTCTCTACTAAAAGTACAAAAATTAGCCAAGTGTGGTGCACCTGTAATCCCAGCTACTCGGGAGGCTGAGGCGGGAGAATCACTTGAACCCAGGAGGTGGAAGTTGCAGTGAGCTGAGATCACACCACTGCACTCTAGCCTGGGTGACAAGAGCGAAACTCTGTCTCAAAAACAAAACAAAACAACCCAAAATATTTAGTGTTGATGAGGATGTGGAGAAATTGGAACCCTTGTGTAATGTTGGAATGTAAAATGGTATGGCTGCTGCGGACAGCAGTATGACAATTCCTCAAACATAGTATTACCATATGATCTAGTAATTCCACTCTGGATATATGTCCCCCAAAATTAAAAGCAGAGTCTCAAAGAGATTTATATATCCACGTTCATAGCAGCATTAATCATAAAATGATAGCTAAAATAAAGAAGCAACCCAGTGTCCATTGATGGATAAATGGATAAGCAAAATGTGGTATAGCCAGACAAGGAATATTACTCATCCTTAAAAAGGAAGGAAATTCTGGGCCAGGCGCAGTGGCTCATGCCTGTAATCCCAGCACTTTGGGAGGTCAAGGAGGGAGAATCACCTGAGGTCGGGAGTTCGAGACCAGCCTGACCAACATGGAGAAACCCCGTCTCTACTAAAGATACAAAATTAGCTGGGTGTGGTGGCGCATGCCAGCTACTTGGGAGGCTGAGGCGGGAGAACTGCTTGAACCCGGGAGGTGGAGGTTGCAGTGAGCCAAGATAGCGCCATTGTACTCCAGCCTGGGCAACAAGAGCAAAACTCCGTCTCAAAAAAAAAAAGAAAAAATTGTGCAATGGCACCTCGGCTCACTGCAACCTCTGCCTCCCAAGTTTAAGCGATTCTTCTGCCTCAGCCTCCCCAGTAGCTGGGATTACATGCATGCGCCACCACGCCCGGCTAATTTTGTATCTTTAGTAGAGACGGGGTTTCTCCATGTTGGTCAGGCTAGTCTTGAACTCCCAACCTCAGGTGATTCTCCCTCCTCGGCCTCCCAAAGAGCTGGGATTACAGGCATGAGCCACCGGGCCTGCCTGGAAATTCTGACACAAATTCTACCACAGATACCACAGAAATAAACCCTGAAGATATTATGCTAAGTGAAATAAGCCAGTCACAAAAAGACAAATACTTGTCATTTGAAGCTTCTCAGAAATTATTTTCTAATGAGAACAAAAGAAAACAAAAAGACAAATCATGCATGATTCCACTCACATGAACTAGTTATAGTAGTCAAAATCATAGAGACAGATGGTAGAATGGTGGTTGCTGGGGATGGGAGGCGGGGGTATTGAGAAGTTATTGTTTAATGAGTATAGAGTTTCAATTTTAAAAGATGAAAAAAATCTGGATATGGATGGTGGTGACCGTTGCAAAACAATATGAAAGTTGCAAAAAATATAGAAAATTAAACAATATTTAATACCACTTAAATGTACATTTAAAAATAGCTAAGGCCAGGCGCGTTGGCTCACGCCTGTAATTCCAGCACTTTGGGAGGCTGAGGCGGGAGGATCACGAGGTCAGGAGATCGAGACCATTCTGACTAACACAGTGAAACCCAGCCTCTACTAAAAAGACAAAAAATACAAAAAATTAGCTGGGCATGGTGGCCTGTAGTCCCAGCTACTGGGGAAGCTGAGGCAGGAGAATGGCGTGAACCCAGGAAGCGGAGCTTGCAGTGAGCCCAGATCGCGCCCCTGCACTCCAGCCTGGGCGACAGGGCGAGACTCCGAATCAAAAAAAAAAAAAAAAAAATAGCTAAAATGGCAGATTTTATATGTATTTTACAATTTAAAAAACAGAAAAAAATTAAACAAAATGAAACAAAAATACTTCCTGTTTTGACTAATCCACCAACTTGACATTTGTTTCATTTTACTTTCAAAATTTAGGGATTGATTTCCCATTTTGATTTAACTTTGTTTTAGTAATAGATAAAACATTTATAGTGTTCCATAGTCAAAACTATTAAAACAGGTATATTCAGAAAATTATAGCTCTTCCATCGTATTCTGTCATCCCCCTATAGGTAGCTTGATTTGGTCTATGCTTCTTTTCTATTTTAATAGAAGCTAACACATATTCATATACTCCCCTCTTCTTAAAAGGTAGCACAATCTACACGTTAAAGAAAAATGCATTTTAAAAAGATATACATACTTCAATATATAGGCTTTTTGGTGGTTTCACATCCTGTGTAATGTCCAAACCTTCGTCTCCTCCCAGTGACCTCATATAAGTAGCAAGAGATCTTTTATAATTATTAAACCACTCCATCTGCAAACATAGAGATGATCATTTGACAAAATTCTAAGAAAACTTACACACATTACGTACTCATCCATTTGAAAACAGTACACATCCCAACACAAATCACTATTGTAACCATTCATTCATTTATGCTAAAATATTATTAATTGCCTCCTATGATATAGGCATTGGTCTGGGTACTTAGGATGAATTATTCAATAAAGTGAACAAAATTCTCTGTTCTCAGAGAGATTACATTTCAGCATACTTAATAATAAGCCTTAGGAATCTTTGACCAGAAACAGAACCAAGAAAAAGATGCCATTTCAGAATTATATCTTCAAACTCTGCATTATTGCTATTTCTGAAAACTATAAAACATTGTTAAGAAAACCCAAATGTCCACCAACTGATGAATGGATATGTGCCCATATGATGGAACATTATTCAACCATAAGTAGCAACGAAGTTCTGAAACATATTGCCATTACCACATGAAAGACAAAAGGCCACATATTACATGATTCTACTCATATGAAAAACCTGTAATAGGGAAATCTATAGAGACAGAAAGTAGATTCGGGATTTCCAGGAGCTGGGAGGAGGGAAGAAAATATAGAGTAAATATAAAGGGGACAGGGCTTATTTGTAGGGTGATGAAAATATTCTCAAATAAGATGGTGGTACTGGATACACAACAACTCTGAATATACTAAAAACCACTGCATTGTACAATTTAAGATGGTAAACTTCACAGAGTATGAATCATATATCAGTAAATCTATTTCTAAAAATGTTGAAAAAAATGAAAGACCTAAATATATACCACATTCACAGACTGGATGATTCAATATTGTAATAATGTCAACAATCTATAGATTCAATTCAATCTCAATCAAAATCTTAACTTTCTTTAAAATGGAACCTGACAAACTGAGTCTAAATTTTACATGGAAGTGCAAAGGGCTAAAAATAGCTGAAATGCTCTCAAAAAAGAACAAGAGGGGAACTTGCTCCAACTATACTATATAGTTACAGTAATTACAACAGTGGAATTGGTATAAGAACAGATAGACTAGCATTAACAAAAGAAAAAGTCCTCCCATTCAAAATCCACAGGAATACTGACACTCAGTGTATGATGAAGGTGGTACCATGCACACAGTGATGGGAGAGGCACATCTGTTCAATACATGGTGGTGGGTCATCTCAGTATCTATATTCAAAATGAAGCATACTTCCTATAGTATACACAAAACTTCATCCCAGTACTGTAGATCTCTTTGTAAAAGGTAAAATATAGCTCCTAAAAGATTACACAGAAAAATATCTTGGGGGGCTGAGGCAGGAGAATGGTGTGAACCTGGGAGGCGGAGCTTGCAGTGAGCTGAGATTGTGGCCACTGCACTCCAGCCTGGGCTACAGAGCGAGACTCCGTCTCAAAAAAAAAAATTCTTAATATCCTCTGGGTAGGCTGGGCACGGTGGCTCACGCCTGTAATCCCAGCACTTTGGGAGGCCAAGGCGGGCATATTGCTTGAGGCCAGGAGTTCAAGACCAGCCTGGCAAACATGGTGAAACCCCGCCTCCACTAATAATACAAAAATTAGCCAGGCATGGTGGCACACATGTAGTCCCAGCTACTCCGGAGGCTGAAGCAGGAGGATCACTTGAACCGGGGAGGCGGAGGTTGCACTGGGCCGAGATTGTGCTACTGCACTCCAGCCTGGGTGACAAGAGTCAAACTGTGTCCAAAAAAAAAAAGGAAATACTATTCAGCAATAAAAAGGAATGAGCTCGGCCAGGCACGGTGGCTCACACCTGCAATCCCAGCACTTTGGAAGGCCTGAGCGGGTGGACCACCTGAGGTCGGGAGTTCAAGACTAGCCTGACCAACAAGGGAGAAACCCCGTCTCTGCTAAAAATACAAAAAATTAGCTAGGCGTGGTGGTGCATGCCTGTAATCCCAGCTGCTTGGGAGGCTGAGGCAGAATCGCTTGAACCCGGGAGGCGGGGGTTGCGATAAGCCAAATCACACCATTGCACTCCAGCCTGGGCAACAAGAGCAAAATATTCCATCAAAAAACAAAAATAAAAAAGAAGGAATGGGCTGGGCGTGGTGGCTCACGTCTGTAATCCCAGCACTTTGGGAGGCGAAGGAGGGCGGATCATGAGGTCAGGAGATCAAGACCACCCTGGCTGACACGGTGAAACCCCATCTCTACTTAAAAAAAAATACAAAAAAAAAAACCTGGAGTCCCAGCTACTCAGGAGGCTGAGGCAGGAGAATGGCGCGAACCTGGGAGGCGGAGCTTGCAGTGAGCCGAGATCGTGTCACTGTGCTCCAGCCTGGGTGACAGAGCAACACTCCGTCTCAAAAAACAAACAAACAAACAGGAATGAGCTCTTGCTAATATATCAAAAACAAGGAATGAGCTCTTGCTAATATTTCAACAGGTTAGAATCTCAAAAATATTGCATTTAGTGAAAGTCATCAATCATTAAAGGATACTGCATGAATCTATATGAAGTTCAAAAAATGGGCAACACTAAATTATAGTGTTTAGAAATGCAGGCTTAGGTGGTAAATAGCAAGTTTTTTTGGTTGCTGTTTTGTTTAAGACAGGGTCTCACCCTGTCACCCAGGTTGGAGTGCAGTGGCGCAATCTCGGCTTACTACAACCTCTGCCTCCCAAGCTCAAGCGATCCTCCCACCTCAGTCTTCTGAGTAGCTGGGACCACAGGCGCACACCACCACACTTGGCTAAGTTTTTGTTTTTGTTTTTTTTCTTTTTTTGGTAGAGATGGGGTTTCACCCTGTTGTTCAAACTAGTCTCAAACTCGTGAGCTCAGGCAATCCATCCACCTCGGCCTCTCAAAGTGCTGGGATTCCAGGTGTGAGCCACTGCACCCAGAGCAATAAGATTTTTAAAAACAAGGAAGTGATCAGTCTGCACAAAAGCCAGGAGGGTAGTGATCACTGGCAGGAGGGACACAAAGGTTCTGGAGCAATGTTCTTTCCTGAACAGGGTGATGGATACATAGGAATTCCTCAGTGTTACATCGTTGGGCTGTACATGTTCGTTTTCTGCACCTTTCCAGATGTGTTTGCATGTGTCTGTTTTTATGTTAGATTTCACAATGCAAATGGTTAAATTAAGTGATTTTAAAAGATTTAAAAGGTATGTAGGCCAAGGTGGTAAAAACTGCATTGCCTTTTACAATACAAAGGATAAAAAAATGACATTTTGTATTGATAAGTATGAAGAAGAGTTCTCTGAGAGAGATCTTGCCAAATGAGTCAAACATGGGTGTCTCCACTGAGAACAGTAGAGTGTAACAGACCCCAAAGAGAAGATGAAGCCGGGTGCGGTGGCTCAAGCCTGTAATCCCAGCACTTTGGGAGGCCGAGACGGGTGGATCACGAGGTCAGGAGATCGAGACCATCCTGGCTAACACAGTGAAACCCCGTCTCTACTAAAAAATACAAAAAAACTAGCCGGGCGAGGTGGCGGGCGCCTGTAGTCCCAGCTACTCGGGAGGCTGAGGCAGGAGAATGGCGTAAACCCAGGAGGCGGAGCTTGCAGTGAGCTGAGATCCGGCCACTGCACTCCAGCCTGGGCAACAGAGCGAGACTCCGTCTCCAAAAAAAAAAAAAAAGAGAAGATGAAGTGGAAGAAAAATCAGAAGCTGTTTTGACAATGAGGGTGTTACCCTCATTTAGTCTTTTTCACAGATAAAAGGGCAATGTAGAATCAGCACATTACTTCCACAAAAGAACATACTGATATAGTCACAAATTTTTATTTTATTTTTCCTTATGGAAAAATATTAATAGGAAAGAAAAAATCCCTATTTTCACTATCTCTCATATGTTAATGTCTTGAAGATTCTAAACAGAAACTTAGGAAATCAAAAAACAAAAGATGTTACTATTTTAAAAACATAAAAGATGTTACTATTTTTAAAACAAAAGATGTTACTATTTTGAAATCAGATAGTAAGATTTTTACTTTTTTTTTTTTTTTTTTTTGAGACGGAGTCTTGCTCTGTCGCCCAGGCTGGGGTGCAGTGGCCGGATCTCAGCTCACTGCAAGCTCCACCTCCCGGGTTTACGCCATTCTCCTGCCTCAGCCTCCTGAGTAGCTGGGACTACAGGCGCCCGCCACCTCGCCCGGCTAGTTTTTTTGTATTTTTTAGTAGAGATGGGGTTTCACCGTGTTAGCCAGGATGGTCTCGATCTCCTGACCTCGTGATCCACCCGTCTCGGCCTCCCAAAGTGCTGGGATTACAGGCTTGAGCCACCGCGCCCGGCCAAGATTTTTACTTATAATCCATGTACTTTCATATTCTTTCAATGGTATTTCCTCTAAACATTATTAACACATGATCATCTGTTTCATGTCAGTAACCTTATTTTAGCTCTGCTTTTACTTTTATTGTTACCCTAAGTCAACAATATTGAGATCATCATTCCCTCTAATAAAGTGCTTACTGTATACCAGGAATTTGCTAAAATTTTAATATGCTTATTTTATTTACTCTTTGTCATTGCCCCATGATGTAACTAGTATTATTATCTTCTTTTTATTCATGAAGGAATGAAGCTTTGAAAATTAGATAATTCAGCAAAGGGCTCAGAGTTAACAAGGCAAGGATCTGAATTTAGGTGGCAGACTCAAGTCCACGTGCTTCAGTCACCCACTGAAGCACTATCCTTGGGTAACACAGATACCTATGATGACATTCAGACCTCATAGGCTCCTGTAAGTTGTCAGGGATACCTGGAAATATTCTTTGTTACTGGTCCAAAATGGTTGATGAAGTTGCCACCATGCAATTGCTCAAGCAGGGATGTCTGTGGTCTACTACAGAGTATATCTGTATTAATCTGTTCTCATTTTTAAGTTTTTCCAAAACACCACTAAGAGAATGAGACCATTAGGCCGGGCGCGGTGGCTCAAGCCTGTAATCCCAGCACTTTGGGAGGCCGAGACGGGTGGATCACGAGGTCAGGAGATCGAGACCATCCTGGCTAACACGGTGAAACCCCGTCTCTACTAAAAATACAAAAAACTAGCCGGGCGAAGTGGCGGGCGCCTGTAGTCCCAGCTACTCAGGAGGCTGAAGCAGGAGAATGGCGTGAACCCGGGAGGCGGAGCTTGCAGTGAGCTGAGATCCGGCCACTGTGCTCCAGCCTGGGCGACAGAGCGAGACTCCGTCTCAAAAAAAAAAAAAAAAAAAGAGAATGAGACCATGTATACTCCTTTTATTCTTTTTTTTTTTTTTTGAGACAGGGTCTCATTCTCTCCCCCAGACTGGAGTGCAGGGGTGCGATCTCGGCTCATCGCCCCAGGCTCAAGCAATTGTTCTGCCTCAGCCTCCCTGAGTAGCTGGGATTACAGGTGCACGCTACCACACCCAGCTAATTTTTGTATTTTTAGTAGAAACGGGGTTTCACCATGTTGGCCAGGCTGGTATATTCCTTTTTATAGATGAGGTCACTGGGGTAGAAGGAAGTCATTTGCCAGTTTTGTAGTAATTCACAAACTCTTCCAAGAAACTCAGGTTTCACTATTCTCAAACAACTTAATCTCTAGACCCATTAATATTATTTTATATAAGGCCGGGCGTTGTGGCTCATGCTTGTAATCCCAGCACTTTGGGAGGCTGAGGCGGGTGGATCACGAGGTCAGGAGTTCAAGACCCGCCTGGCCAATACAGTGAAACCCCGTCTCTACTAAAAATACAAAAAAATTAGCGGGGTGTAGTGGCGGGCACCTGTAATCCCAGCTACTCGGGAGGCTGAGGCAGGAGAATCGCTTGAACCCGGGAGGCATAGGTTTCAGTGAGCTGAGATCACGCCACTGCACTCCAGCTGGGGCAACAGAGCAAGACACCATCTCAAAAAAAAAAATTATTTTATTTGCTGTTAACATTGTTTTATTTCATTAAAATAGAAACTGACTTTGGGAACTCAGTCATCACAGAAAACTGCCACCCTTACAGAAACAATGCCCAATACGAAATCTAATTGATGTGCTTGAATAAATGTAGCTTGTAATCATTTACAAAACTATAAAAAACATATTAATCACCAGGCGCTGTGGCTCACACCTGTAATCCCAGCACTTTGCGAGGCCGAGGGGGGCAGATAATGAGGTCAGGAGTTCGACACCAGCCTGGCCAACATAGTGAAATCCTGTCTCTACTAAAATACAAAAATTAGCTGGGCATGGTGGCAAGTACCTGTAATCACTGCTACTTGGCAGGCTGAGGCAGGAGAACTGCTTGAAGCCAGGAGGCGGAGTTGCAGGGAGCAGAGGTCACACCACTGCACTCCAGCCTGGGCAACAGAGCAAGACTCCATCTCAAAAAAATACATTAAAAAATTAATCTAAAATATTGTATGAGAAAAATCATTAAAGCTACTGTCGTTAGAGAAACAACATAGTGTTCTGTTCATCTCACCATAATACATAGGAAGTACCCCAAAGTTCAATTAATATAAGTCGATTTGAACACAAACAGCATAAAGTGAGGTACTAACATGTTACCAATTTTGTAGTTACTGGTAAATCTGAGGTAGAGATTACTCATTTATTTATGCAGAAAATGAAGAGAATGAAAACGAAGTTATGACAACAAATAGATCACTCAAAAATGTGCAGAATCTAATGACAAACACATTGAATATTTGCTTTTTTTTTTACTTTAAGTTCTGGGATACATGTGCTGAACATGCAGGTTTGTTACATAGGTATACATGTGCCATGGTGGTTTGCTACACTGAATATTTGCTTTCTTAAGCTCTGTCCTATGCAACTGTAATGTAATAACTGTTAACATTTATTGGCCAGGCGCGGTGGCTCAAGCTTGTAATCCCAGCACTTTGGGAGGCCGAGACGGGCGGATCACAAGGTCAGGAGATCGAGACCATCCTGGCTAACACAGTGAAACCCCGTCTCTACTAAAAAATACAAAAAAACTAGCCGGGCGAGGTGGCGGGCGCCTGTAGTCCCAGCTACTCGGGAGGCTGAGGCAGGAGAATGGCGTAAACCTGGGAGGCGGAGCTTGCAGTGAGCCGAGATCTGGCCACTGCACTCCAGCCTGGGTGACAGAGCGAGACTCCGTCTCAAAAAAACAAAACAAAACAAAACAAAACATTTATTGAGTGCCATGCTATGCTGTGCTTCACATGGATCACCTGAAGTAACCCTCTGATAGGCCTTGTAATAACACTGTTGTAGAATAAAGAATTTGGTGGGCCTCTCTCCCTCATCCTGGGAGGTAGCTTCTAAATTATTGGACTTCCTCAACTAGTAGGAGTGTCTTGTTATTCATGATGTGCCCTGAGAGTATGTGCTACTCAGGTGACTTGGGGTGAACCCCTAGATAGTCTGTGCTAACAAGATGACTCAGAGTTGGGACTGGCCACCCCAGAAAGACCAACCATGTGATTAAAGTATTGGGCCTTTGGGCCTCCTGATGTCAGTCTGACCTCCAGGGAGGGGAAGAGGGATGAAGATTGAGCTCAATCACAGGGCCAGTGATTTAATCAATCATGTCTATGTAATAAAGCCCCAATACACACTCTGGACATCAAAGCTTGTGTGAGCTTCCTTAGTTGACAATAACTACAGGTAGTTAGTGTCAGAAGTCATTGCAACCTGTAATAGATAGGTAATATGATCTTCATCCTGTAACAAGGAAATTTAGGCACAGAAACAGGTCAAGTGACTTGCTCAAGATTAGACAGAAGAGAGCCAGGATTTGAACCTAAGCCCACGTGACTCCAATCCTATGTCCATTTTTTTTTTTTTTGAGACGGAGTCTCGCTCTGTCACCCAGGCTGGAGTGCAGTGGCCAGATCTCGGCTCACTGCAAGCTCCGCCTCCCAGGTTTACGCCATTCTCCTGCCTCAGCCTCCCGAGTAGCTGGGACTACAGGCGCCCGCCACCTCCCCCAGCTAGTTTTTTGTATTTTTTAGTAGAGACAGGGTTTCACCGTGTTAGCCAGGATGGTCTCAATCTCCTGACCTCGTGATCTGCCCGTCTCGGCCTCCCAAAGTGCTGGGATTACAGGCTTGAGCCACCGTGCCCGGCTCAATCCTATGTCCTTAAATAATGGGCTAGCTCTTTGCCTCAATGACTAGGCAAATATGAATTTTCATTAGGAAAGTATATATACACATAAACATTTTATGGAATATCCCCAAATAATAATGCCAGTTTTTTAATCCCACTGATTGGATCACTAATAAGTAACATCATAGGACTCCATTTTGTTAAGTAATAATAGAATTTTCCACATATCATTTAGAATTACTCCACACCACATAGTTCCCCTCACATTGTATACTAAACACCAGACAAAAATTGGGGGAAAACAGACATTAAAAACAGAAAGAGGAATACCAATAAACACTATTATAGAACAATGCCAGAACTTCAGCATTTTCAAAATTTATAAACTTGAACAATGCTAACTCACTTCTTCAGCAGACATGTGAAATCGTAATGCATTTGGCAAGATGCTACCATATTCCCATCTGAGTGCTCTGATCCGAAGCAAGCGATCATACCTAGGACATCAAGAAGGTATTGGGTGGCATAAGAATAAAAGAGGGATCATGTGTGGACTTCATTTGGCCCCTGATGCAAACACACCAGCTCTAAAAAGACATCTTAGGAACAACAAGAGGAACATGAGCACAGTCTGAGAGTCAGCCTGAAGGCACTGTCCCCTCCTCCACATGTGACAACAGCACAGTAGTCCTGGGAAAAAGGTCCCTGAGGTCCTTATTTCTTCCTTCCCCACCCCCTCTTTTTTTTTTTTTTGAGATAGAGTTTTGCTCTTGTCACCCAGGCTGGAGTGCAATGGCACGATCTCCTCTCACTACAACCTCTGGCTCCCGGATTCAAGCGATTCTCCTGCCTCAGCCTCCCAAGTAGCTGGGATGAGGCACCTACCACCATGCCCGGCTAATTTTTGTACTTTCAGTAGAGACGAGGTTTCACCATGTTGGCCAGGCTGGTCTCGAACTCCTGACCCCAGGTGATCCACCCGCTTCGGCCTCCCAAAGTGCTGGGATTACAGGCATGAGCCACTGTGCCTGGCCAAAGGTCCTTATTTCTAAGACAAAGAAGAAAAATAGTAAGATCACTACCATATTCAGTAGTGAAAGACCATGATGCTCTTAAATAGTGTGGCACCAACAAGCGAAACACAATGAAGAAAATATGGCAAAATAATAAAAATTGTTAAAACCCTACAATAGCTCCACTTGGGTTCATAATAGTATTATTCTCCCTACTTTTAAAAGTGTTTTTTCATAATAAAAAATTTAAAAAATGAAAAAACAGAGGAAAAATTTAGAATGCTTATAAAGAGAGAAAAATCTTAAGATTTCATGTTACCCATTTGAGATGGTCAACTGGGAAGCCACACAGAAAATCCTGCCACCCAAGCAAAAACTGAGAAGCTTACAGGTATGCTACAGTGCAGCGTCGATTTCTTAACAGAGAACAGTGTCGAAATTTGATAGTTGGTATCAAATCACTTCGTCCACCTGACTTCGCTTCATTCCTGATAGGAGCATTTAAAAAGAAAAAAAAAACATAATTTCAGGCTAAGTAAAATTTTCAAAGCCAACTAACAACTGAGTCACATGCTTGTTTTTAATCCATTTGTGATTAGCAGTTAACCTAAGCAAATAATAACTATTTGTACATCAGAGCTTTTACTAATACGTTAAAAAGCCAAAACCTAAACAACTTGCCTAAGATCATGCTATCAGATACATTTTGTTTAGGCATTTGGTACTTTGCATTTTTGCACACTGATTAATCTCTATTCTTTCTAAAAGACACTGTGTTCACTTTTCGGGATTCCATTATCATGCTGAAATAAGAGACAAACCTAACACGATGGACATGAGGTTACGGACTTACATTATGTTGTTATTCTACATAGTACCTCCCTTCCAGTGGAGCTTCCAAATCCTCATTACAATAAAGTGAGCTAAAATGGAGTCAAAATGGTCTTTCACTCATCTAACAAATATCTGTTGATCTCCAAATACGTGTACGTACTATACTTCAGTATTTTTCACACTGAAAATTTTGGTTTTACCCTATAAAAAGTACATATAACTTTTGAATGAATAAGAATTTACGTTGGAGTTTTTAAGCAACCAGATGAATATAAAAAGAATTCATTCATGTAGTACCTGCCTCTATGCCAGGCACTGTGCTAGGCCTTGATAATACAGGCAAAATACATGTCCCATCTTGTCATGTCTTCTAGGGCTGTTCTATATACTTCTGCCACCCTATGAAAGTCTGATGAAACTAGGAAGGTGGAAGACAGTATTTGGATCATGAATTTGCAAATGGCATAAACACAGAGAATACAAGAAAATCATTCCCTTACGGAACCAAGGTCTATAGGGTCTCCTCCAAAACATCTATAACCTTCTCACTTTCTACCAAGTCCGGGTCACCTCTCTAGTAACGTGGTGACCAGCTTCCCCCTCCTCTCAGCCCCTCCACACAGCAACCAGGATGATCTTTTTTTTTTTTTTTTTTTTTTTTTTTGAGACGGAGTCTCGCTCTGTCCCCCAGGCTGGAGTGCAGTGGCGCAATCTCGGCTCACTGCAAGCTCCGCCTCCCAGGTTCACGCCATTCTCCTGCCTCAGTCTCCCGAGTAGCTGGGACTACAGGCGCCCGCCACTGCGCCCGGCTAATTTTTTTCTCTTTTTTTAGTAGAGACGGTGTTTCACCATGGTCTCGATCTCCTGACCTTGTGATCCGCCCGCCTCGGCCTCCCAAAGTGCTGGGATTACAGGCGTGAGCCACCGCGCCCGGCCAGGATGATCTTTTAAGACACAAACACGCCACTACCTGTCCACACTTACACCTCATCTGGTGCCACCCTTTGCCACTTGCCAAACTCCAGCCACATAGGTCTTCTTTAAGTGTCAGTTTCTAGAGTGCTCCATTCCCTTCCATGATTCAGGGGCTTTTGCATATGCTGTTCTCTCCACCTAGAATGTTCTATGCCCACAGTTACTGCCTCCCTAAGTAAGGCCTGCCTCTCCTGCAAGCCTCAGCTGAAATGTCTCCTCCTTGGAGAGAAGTTCCCTGATCCCTCAATTTAAGCTAGACCTTCTATTCGTTTTTCTTTCTCCTTGTTCTTTTCTGATTTCCTTCATTGCATGAATCCCAATTTGGCATATCTATATTTCATATCTATCTGTCTTTTTTTTTTTTGTGAGATGGAGTTTCGCTACTGTTGCCCAAGCTGGAGTGCAATGGCGCGATCTCAGCTCACCACAACCTCTGCCTCCCGGGTTCAAGCGATTCTCCTGCCTCAGCCTCCCGAGTAGCTGGGATTACAGGCATGCACTACCATGCACAGCTAATTTTGTATTTTTCGTAGAGACAGAGTTTCACCATGTTGGTCAGGCTGGTCTCAAGCTCCTGACCTCAGGTGATCCACCTGCCCGGGGACAGCCATCTTGACTGTTGTTTACCACTGAAATAGTAGAGCCACTTATTGATACATATTTGTTTAGTACATATTCATGAGTAAATCAATGAATGGCTTAGGGACTTGAGTTCAGGACTTTACATTTGCCTTATATTTACTGCAGATCTGTTGAGGTTCACTTCCTAAGTCCACCTGTAAAGATTTTTCTGTATCTCTCCTTAAACACAGGAGTTGGAAACGCTCCTATCATTTTATGTGCCCTACAAATCTTACCAGCCATAACACTGATTTCTAAATTCAAGTAACGGATAAAAACACTGTAGCGAACAAGTCCAAAGAGGAAACCTCATGTCACAGACAGACTTCTAAGTTGAGACCTTAAATACTTCAACTTTGATCTAGTACTTGACTCCCTTTGGTGTCACACAGGAACATATGAAGTTTGTCATACAGCCCAAATTCTCTACTGTGCCAGCTACCATGCTCAGTTCTAAAGAGTCAATAAATCTAGTCACCTCTCTGGACCTACTACACTGAAGACTTTTATAGCTAGTTCTCAGAGAACTCCACTCAAACTATCAGAAATCATTGCTGCTCTTATTTATATCCATTTATAAACTGCCTATTCTTCCTTTAACAAACTCACTAAGGCATCTGTTGATAAAAATAAAAACAGTGGGAACCATGTATTTCACTTTGTTAGGTTTTAATTTTTATTTATTATTTTTAAAGATGGAGATCTCATTCTGTCACCCAGGCTAGGGTGCCATAACGTGATCATAGCTCACTGCAGCCTCAAAGCACTCAAGCACCCCTGCACTCAAGCAAGCCTCCCACCTTACCCTCTGAGTAGCTGAGACTCCAGGTGTGTGTCACCACACCCAGCTAATTTTTATTTCTTTAAATAGAGACAGAGTCCTGCTATATGTCCAGGCTGGTCTCCAACTCCTGGCCTCAACTGATCCTTTTGCCTTGGCCTCCCAAAGCATTGGGACTTATAGCCATGAGCCACCGTGTCCGGCCTATTTTTACTTTTTATTTTAGGTATGTCATTTATTTTAGGTCCACTCTAATTCCTTTCAACTCCTATCAGAGAAACAACAGGTATTTATTAAGCAGTGATCAGCACAAATTCCTTCAGACTTCTGCTAATTTGTACAGCTAGAGCAGATAATTTTACAGACAATTTTTAAAAATCACATCCAAAAACTAATGCAAGGTTATCTGATTTCAACATCTTTTTTTCTTTTTCTTTTTTTTGGAGACACAGTCTTGCCCTATTGCCAGGCTGGAGTGAAGTGGTGCAATCTTGGTTCACTGCAACCTCCGCCTCCCGGGTTCAAACAATTCTGCCTCAGCCTCCTGAGTAGCTGGGATTACAGGCGCCCAACACCATGCCAGGTTAATTTTTGTATTTTTAGTAGAGACGAGGTTTCACCACGTTGGCCAGGCTGATCTCAAACTCCTGACTTCGTAATCCACCCGCCTTAGCCTCCCAAAGTGCTGGGATTACAGGCGTGAGCCACCGCACCCAGCCGATTTCAACATCTTAATTATTAAATTGTTTTAGAATATCAATCTTATGAAACTTACACATCAGACTGGTTTTGTTCATACAAAGCTTTCATCTCCTCCAGAACTTGTCTGAGTCCATCCTCCTAGAACATATAAACCGATATTGAAATCCACTGATTTCCTCGCCAATTCTGTGGCAATATTCTATCAATACTGAACTGTGTATTTTATTTATATACTTTAGCAAAAAGCAATAATCCTTTCACACCCCACTAGCATGGTTATAACAAATGTTGGTGAGATGCGGAGAAACTGGAAATGCAGAGAAACTGGAATCTTCGTACATTGCTGATGGTAATGTAAAATGCGATAGCCCGGCCGGGCGCGGTGGCTCACGCCTGTAATCCCAGCACTTTGGGAGGCCGAGGCAGGCGGATCACAAGGTCAGGAGATCGAGACCACAGTGAAACCCCGTCTCTACTAAAAATACAAAAAATTAGCCGGGCGCGGTTGTGGGCGCCTGTAATCCCAGCTACTCGGGAGGCTGAGGCAGGAGAATGGCGTGAACCCGGGAGGCGGAGCTTGCAGTGAGCCGAGATCGCGCCACTGCACTCCAGCCTGGGCGACAGAGCGAGACTCCGTCTCAAAAAAAAAAAAAAAAAAAAAAAAAAAAAAAAAAAAAAAAAAATAAAATAAAATAAAATAAAATGCGATAGCCCTGTGGGCAAAAACTTGACGGTTCCTCAAAAGCTACACACAGAATTACCATATGACCCAGTAATTTTACTCCTAAGTTTATATATATTCAAGAAAACAGAAAACACATGTTTTTTGCAGCATTATTCATAACAGTCAAAATGCAGAAACAACCCAAATGTCCATCAACTGATAGATGGATAAACCTTCCACTTATCTGAAATATCTAATATAATAAAAAGGCTGGGTGCGGTGGCTGACGCCTGTAATCCCAGCACTTTGGGAGGCCAAGGCGGAGGGATCATGAGGTCAAGAGACCACCCTGGCTAACACAGTGAAACCCTGTCTCTACTAAAAAATACAAAAAATTAGCTGGGCGTGGTGGCGGGCATCTGTAGTTCTAGCTACTTGGGAGGCTGAGGCAGGAGAATGGTGTGAACCTGGGAATCGGAGCTTGCAGTGAGCCAAGATTGTGCCACTACACTCCAGCCTGGACGACAGAGCAAGACTCCATCTCTAGTAATAATAATAATAATAATAATAATAATAATAATAATAATAATATAAAAAGAATCGGCCAGGGGCGGTGGCTCTTATCTGTAATCCCAGCACTTTGGGAGGCTGAGGCAGGCGGATCACCTGAGGTCAGAAGTTCAAAACCAGCCTGGTCAACATGGTGAAACTCCGTCTCTATTAAATATACAAAAATTAGCCAGGCGTGGTGGCAGGCGCCTGTAATCCCAGCTACTTGGGAGGCTGAGACAGAAGAATCGCTTGAACCCAGGAGGCAGAGGTTGCAATGAGCCAAGATCATGCCATTGCACTCCAGCCTGGGCAACAAGAGCGAAACTTCGTCTCAAAAAAAAGAAAAAAAAAGAATGAACTACTGACAACGTACACAACGAGGATAAACTGAAATACATTATACTGAGCAAGAGAAGCCTCACTTAAGAGTATAAATGAAATTATTCCATCTGGCTCTTTACAGGAAAAGTTTGCCAAAAAGAATAATGCCATCTATAGTCAGAGAAAGCAAATTCATGGTTGCCTAAGGCTATAGGTGGGAGGTAGCTACAAAAGGGGGTCAAAGTTACAGAAATCTTCTTTAATTTTTTTATTTTTGTAGGTACACAGTAGGTATATATATTTATGGGGTACATGAGATATTTTGATAATTACAGAAATCTTGATCAGGGTGCTGGTTATAAAGATGTACGTATTAGTCAAAATTCAAAAATCTATTAAAATACACATTTTGTTGTATGTAAATTATACATCAATAAAATTGAGGAACAAACATATCAATTGTCCTACTGAAGCATGAGGTATAAAGAAAAATAATGCAAATAATTCATAATTTACTAAAAAATGGTCTTTTTTTTGAGACAGAATCTCACACTGTTGCCGGGGCTGGAGTGCAATGGTACAATCTCGGCTCACTGCAACCTCTGCCTCCTGGGTTCAAGAGATTCTCCTGTCTCAGCCTCCCGAGTAGTTGGGATTACAGGCAACCACCACCACGCCTGGCTAATTTTTTGTATTTTTAGTAGAGACGGGGTTTCACTATATTGGTCAGGCTAGTCTCGAACTCCTGACCTCAGGTGATCCACCCGCCTCAGCCTCTCAAAGTGCTGGGATTATAAGGATGAGCCACCGGGCCCAGCTTAAAAAGTGATCTTAAAAGGTTAATACCAAAAAAAGAAAAAGGAATAGTGGTTTTGGTTTGCACTGCAAAAACTGGCCATAAGAGTTTTTCTAATATCCAGTTTGGGGCAAATTTTCCCTTGGAAAAATAAAACATTAGAATTCTGATTTTTCTTGTTGTTGTTTTGTTGTTGTTGTTGAGATGGAGTCTCACTCTGTGGCCCAGGCTGGAGTGCGGTGGTGTGATCTCAGTTCACTGCAACCTCTGCCTCCCAGGTTTAAGTGATTCTCCTGCCTCAGCCTCCCGAGTAGCTGGGACTACAGGTGTGCACTACCAATGCCCGGCTAATTTTTTTTTTTTTTTTTTTGAGAGACAGAGTTTTGTTCTTGTCACCCAGGCTGGGGTACAATGGTGCAATCTTGGCTCACTGCAACCTCCGTCTCCCAGGTTCAAGCGATGATTCTCCTGCCTTAGCCTCTCAAGTAGCTGGGATTATAGGCGCCCACCACCACGTCCAGCTAATTTTTGTATTTTTAGTAGAGACAGTGTTTCACCATGTTCACCAGGCTGGTCTTGAACTCCTGACCTCAGGCAATCCACCCACCTCAGCTTCCCAAAGTGCTGGGATTACAAGTGTAAGCCACCATGCCTGGCTAATTTTTGTAATTTTTTTTTTTTTGGTAGAGACAGGGTTTCGCTACGTTGGCCACGCCGCTCTCAAACTCCTGACCTCAAGTGATTCGCCTGCCATGGTCTCCCAAAGTGCTGGGATTACAGGCGGGAGTCACCGTGTCCAGCCTGAAATGATTAAACGTTGCCCAATAGGTCTGCCAACAATCCAAAGAGAAGCAATCCCATCTCTTTTTCGCAATCTATTTTTAGAGCCAAAATATACGCGTTGGCAAAAATGCTGTGGTATATACAAATGGCACAATTCCAAAATCAACTACTCAACTCTGCTCAAAAGATGTAATTCCTGGTGAAAAATGCAAGCATGACTTCTACATGAGCCCAAGGTAATTTTTTTACCTTTTCCTTTTTGAGACAGGGATTAAGCCTGTCACCCAGGCTGGAGTGTAATAGCGTGACCACAGCTGACTGCAGTTTCAACTTCCTGGAGTCATACAATCCTCTCATCTCAGCCTCCTAAGTTGCTGGGACTACAGATCTGTGCCACCACACCGGATAATTCTATTTTTTGTGAAGATGGGGTCTCACTATGTTGCCCCAGAATAGTCTCGAACTCCTGGGCTCAAGCGTTCCTTCCACCTTGGCCTCCCAAAGTGCTGGCTGGGATTACAGTCATGAGCCACCATGCTTGGTCTAATTTTACTAAAAATGCACTTTTTAAAAAAAGTATCAATTCTGCATATTGAAAGGGAGTAATCGCTTTTCTATTTGCTGAACACAGCACTTCACCATGAGTGATTCCTGAAGAAAAGCCTGTGTGTTGAGCCAGGTGCAGTGGCTCACACCTGTAATCCCAGAACTCTGGGAGGCTGAGGTGGGTGGATCACCTGAGGTCAGGAGTTCGAGACCAGCCTGGCTAACATAGTGAAACCGTTTCTACTAAAAATACATAAAATTATCTGGGTGTGGTGGCGGGCGCCTGTAATCTCAGCTACTAGGGAGGCTGAGGCAGGAGAATTGCTTAACCCAGAAGGCAGAGGTTGCAGTGAGCCACATTCCAGCCTGGGCCACATGAGCGAAACTCCATCTCAAAACAGTAAAAAAAAGAAAAGCCTGTGTGGTCCTAGGGCCTCTCAGACCCACCGTCAGCCTTCCTCTGTGCCACTGAGTCGGAAGCCAGCCTCCGCAGGCTGACTGAGTGTTCCAGGCTGCTGAATCACCTTGAGATCATCAGGTGGGTTTGTCAGTGGAAGGCACTAGTGAGACAAAAGGTGCTCCACCAAATTAAGACCTACAAAAGAGTGATTCTACAACTTTTTTTTTTTTTTGAGGCAGAGTCTCACTCTGTTGCCCAGGCTGGAGTGCTGTGACCCGATCTCAGCTCACTGCAACCTCCGCCTCCCAGGTTCAAGCGATTCTCCTGCCTCAGCCTTCCGAGTAGCTGGGACTACAAGCACGTCCCACCACGCCTGGCTAATTTTTTGTATTTTTAGTAGATACGGGGTTTCACCGTGTTAGCCGGGATGGTCTCAATCTCCAGACCTTGTGATTTGCCCTCCCAAAGTGGGGGGATTACAGGCATGAGCCACCGCGCCTGGCCTGATTCTACAACTTCTAAGACCAGCCCCTAGCCCCACAAAGTGATAACCCAACATTTATCTTAAAATTTGAGTAAAACAGAGCTAAACTAAGTGTCAGAGTCAGGTCCAAAATCCAGCTTGGCCGCACCTGCTGCTGGCACAGTCTCTCTGTTCTCTAGGCCCGTGTCCTGATATGTACGATGGCCTCTAAAGTTCCTATTTCTCCAGCCACATTTTAGCACTTACATGCTCCTGCATTCCAGCATCTCTACTGAGCTGCAGACTGCTGCCTTCTAACTTTTTAAATGAGGTAACTGTTCTGAAGTTGAAAAAACAATTGACTGGAAACTGGAAAACCTGGGTTCAAGTTGAAGCTCTATCTCCAATATGCTGTAAATTCAGACGAGTTCCTTAACTGGACCCATAATTTGTGTTGGCTCAGTTTCTTGATTTGTAAGACAATCTAATTGTCCGGCTAGGTGCTCTTTAGTGTTCAAAACAAAACGCATTACCTTTCCCAACACACTCTATCTCCTGAACTCTGATGTCGTTTACCCAGTTTCCTGAGGATCCTCCAAGATCCCGATTCCTCCCTCTCATTCATTATGGGCTCCATCTCAGCCCCTGCTCTAATAGTTACAAGTCGTGTTTGCTTCATGCCTCTAAAACCCAGACGCTGATCTCAGTGCCACTGACCTGACACAGTTCAGACCACACACCTCTCACCTGCTCTATCAGCCACCCAGTAGCCATCTCTGTTCCATTCTTTCCTCTCTTCAATCCATTCCCCATATTGCTGTCGCAGTTATCTTCAAAACACAAAAATTACCCTATCGCTTCCTTGTCTAAAATCCTCTACCAGCTCTCAGCATGCCTTACGAGTGAACAACAAACTCATGTACGCTGTGAGCCACCTTCCTAGCCTCCCCAAAGATTCTATTGATCACCTGCTCCAGTGTGACCACGTGACTTTGTGCTGCAGCATCCTTTGGCTGGGATGCCTCACTTCCTTCTCAGATCAGTAACCGCATCCTTGAGGATGGAAAGGCTCATATGTCACCGCCTCTACCACAGCTCATACTGGTGTTTCTCCTTCGTGCTCCTTGCTACACCTCCTTGGTATCACTTATTGTGGTAAACTCTATTATCTGTTTTTGTGCCCCTCTTCCAGCAAAATGTGTCCTGATATCCATATAATGCCTGCTCTATGACAGAAGTGAAATACAGAATTTAGAGTGCAGGCTCTGGAGCCAGAGTGCCAGGGTTCAAATCCTAGCTTTCCTGCTGTGTCACCTTAGGCAATATACTTAAATCTCCCCAATCCTATGCATATATAGCTGAAAAAAGTGGAAATCAATAAACATCAAAAAGTTATTTTTGTTTTGTTTGGGACAGGGTCTCCCTCTGTCACTCAAGCTGGAATGCAGTGGCACTATCATGGCTCACTGCAGCTTTGAACTCCTGGGCCCCAAGCGATCCTCCCGCCTCAGCCTCCCAAAGTACTGGGATTACAGGCAGGAGTCATGCCACCGGGCCCTCAAAGGGTTATCAGAAAGACAGGAGATAATGTACATGAAGTGCTTAGCACTCTCCCTGGCGTAGCAGCGGTAGAAAAATACAAATAATCATAATATTAATAGTAGCAGCAGGAGAACAAGAATATTAATAGCTAACACTGACTCAGCCCTTACTGTATGTAAGGCATAGGCACAGACCCTTACACGGGCCACTCATTTTGCGTCCACTACATCACGCGTTGGGTACTATTATCGTCACCATCCCCATTTTTGCGTATGAGAAAACAGAGAGCACAGAAAGCTTGAGTAACTGCCCCAAAGTCACACTACAGAACCAGAATCTCAGCCAGGTTCCAGAGGCCTAGCTTTTCCTGACCACGCTTAGATGCCTGAGTGGGCAAGATATGCTAAATTATCAAGCAACCTGTAAACGTTTTGTTTAAGGGTCTGGAACAAATCTGTCCAAGGAAAAATGCTAAAACGTGCTCAGATGAGGAAATTCACCAAATCGCTGGGTAGCGTAAGCACGAATGCTTTTTCCTCCCGAATTTTGTTTTGCTGCTTCCCAACATTTTTCCGGACCTCGGGGGGAACAAGGTGCGAAAGTAAACCCTGCCGGGGGGCCGCCCCGCCCCAGAGCCCCGGGCCCAACCCCGGCATGCCCCGTCCGAGTCTATCCGCCCCTCACGTTGAAGGCAGGCAGCTGCCCTTCCGGCGCGCGGTGCAGCTCGCGGATCAGTTCCATGGCTTTCTCGCAGAACATGGCGGACGCTTTCCGCTTTTGCAGCCTTGCCAACTGCCAGCTGGCACGCCAAAACGGTATCTGCGCTCTGGGCCGCCTGACTCCTTTCGTTCTAAGACCTACACCGCCAGGCTCTCGCCTCCTCCTCCGCTCTTTGGCGCCAAACAAAGCTAGCCAATAGGAACGCGGCCTATGGCGCCCGAAAAGGGACATCCGCCGCTCAGCCGCATTCCAGGAGGGGCGGAGTGAGAGGGGTCCTTCCAAGGTGAGGTCCGCGCCCGGGAGATGGGAGAACCCCTCGGCTGAGCAGAGAGGGCTTTTCGAGTTCTCAGCGGCGGGCCGGGCGACTCTACAGGCAGCAGAGCTGGAAATAAATGCACGCCCCGCAGCTTCCTTCTCATTTTCCTTTTCATTCTCGTTTAGGTTCAAGGCGGCACTTTGAGGTTAAGAGGAAAGGCCCAAAAACTTGGTATGCATTGGTAGGACGCAAGCGTTTCAGTTTTTCAGTGCGGGTTTTCTGTTTGATATTAAAATAAAGCTATCTTTTATTGGGTACCTAGTGCTGGTAGGGACTGCAGTGTGTATTTCATTCCCACGATTATCTCGAAGTGTTTTAAGACCCGGGATTAATAACGAAACAGAAGTTAGGTAACTTGCCCAAGGTCACACAGCTCCTGAGTGGTTAGACATTTAGGCTTTCCATTTCCGACACCACAGTACCACCCTTTGATTTTAAAGCAGTGGTTTAAAATATTTGTAGTATCTGCCTTAGAGTAACACGAATTCACTAGGCGTTTTCTTGGCTAGATGGTTATGGAATATTTCTTAACCATATAGAATAGAAGATGGGAATCACTGCTAAAGAATTGTTTTATTAGGCAATTTTTCAAAAAGCAATGTTAATTTCTAACAAGCAATCTTGGATTAATTCTAGCTAACCCTATAAACTATGTTGATCTTTTGCAAATATACAGTAAGTATGTCATCTGAGGAATGGGCATGGGAATGGCCTACTCAGGCTTATGCTGAATAACCACATTGCCTTTTTTTTTTTTTTTTTTTTTTTGGTGACCGGGTCTTAACTTCCGTTGCTCAGGTGGAGTGCAGTGGCGGCATTTCAGCTCACTGCAGCCTCCACTTCCCCGGCCGAGATGATTTTCCCCTCTCAGCCCTCTGAGTAGCTGGGACTACAGGCTCAGGCCACCACACCTGGCTATTTTGCATTTTAAGTGGAGACGGGGTTTCACCATGTTGGCCAGTCTGGTCTACAACTGCTGAGCTCAACGGATCCATCCACCTGGGCCTCTCAAAGTGCTAGAATTACCGCGTGGGCCATCACGCCCAGCAAACATTGCCTTTTTGAAACCGCCTTTGAAAAAATTATAATTGAGAAAATTATTACAGTGAACGAGATCTGATCTAATTGGCTCCATCTTGCTTCTAACCGCCAAGCCATCCTTGTTCATTCCTGGGCTTAGGACGAATTAACTTGGGGAGAAACTTAGTTTATACTTTAATTTTGAAACAAACACGTAACAGCCCTTTACCAAAGCAAAACCCCTTCTTGCCTGGGGACTAGATTGCTTTTTTTTTTTTTTTTTTTTTTTTTTTGAGACGGAGTCTTGCTGTGCCGCCCAGGCAGGAGCGCAGTGGCGCGATCTCGGCTCACTGCGAGCTCCGCCTCCCAGGTTCACGCCATTCTCCTGCCTCAGCCTCCCGAGTAGCTGGGACTACAGGCGCCCGCTACTACGCCTGGCTAATTTTTTTGTATTTTTAGTAGAGATGGGTTTTCACTGTGTCAGCCAGGATGGTCTGGATCTCCTGACCTCGTGATCCGCCTGCCACGGCCTCCCGAAGTGCTGGGATTACAGGCGTGAGCCACCGCGCCCGGCTAGATTGCCTTTGCAGGAGTAACAAATTAGCCACAAGACTAGAAATTTAGGAGTCATGCAGCAGGAGGCTACAAGATTCTGAAACCTCCCCGAGTGCTCCTAGGGATAACATCACTATTATTAAACCTAAGACCAGTGCTTGAGATATTTTGCAGACCCTGCACTTGATGGGATCAGCTGGCACCACCCAGATCGATAAACTGGCTGATCTGGTCTTGTGGTCCCCACCCAAGAAGTGACTCAGCCCAAGAGGGCCGCTTTGACTCTCTATGATTTTATCTTTGATCCAACCAATCAGCACCCCTCACTTTGTATCCCCTACCCACTACATTATCCTTTAAAATCCCTATCTTGGAGTTTTCTAGGAGACTGATTTGAGCGATAATAAAACTCCAGTCTCCTGTACAGCTGGGTCTGCATGAATGAAACTCTTTCTCAGCCAGGCCCAGTGACTCACGCCTGTAATCCCAGCACGTTGGGAGACTGAGGCGGGTGGATCACCTGAGGTCAGGAGTTTGAGACGAGTCTGGCCAACATGGCGAAGCCCCATCTCTACTAAAAATACAAAAAGTAGCCTGGCCAGGCATGGTGGCTCATGCCTGTAATCCCAGCACTTTGGGAGGCCAAGGTGGGTGGATCATCTGAGGTCAGAAGTTCAAAACCAGCCTGGCCAACACAGCCAAACCCTGTCTCTACTAAAAATACAAAAAAATTAGCTGAGCATGGCGGCACACACCTGTAATCCCAGCTACTCAGGAGGCTGAGGCAGGAGAATCGCTTGAACCCGGGAGGTGGAGGTTGCAGTGGGCCAAGATCACCCCACTGCATTCCATCCTGGGCAACAGAGACTCCGTCTCAAAAAAAAAAAAAAAAAAATTAGCTGGGCATGGTGGCACATACCTGTAATCCCAGCTACTCAGGAGGCTGAGGCAGGAGAATCTCAAACACAGGAGGAGGAGGTTGCCATGAGCTGAGATTGTGCCATTGCACTCTGGCCTGGGTGACAGAGCAAGACTGTCTCAAAAAAAAAAAAAAAAAACAAAAAACTTTGTCTCTATTACGACTCCCCCGTCCTGATAGATCAGTTCTGTCTGGGCAGTGGACAAGGAGAACCCCTTGGGCAATTTCATTTTCATCTCTATAGTAAGGAATAGTTTATCCAGGTGTTTTTCTCAAATACACAACTCTAGATTGGACCATGCTGCAGGACTGAATCAAGGACCAGCATGCACTACCCTCCTCGGCCATACGCCTTTTTAATTTCCGCCCAGAGGCAAAGTTCCTTAATGACCCCAAGATTCACTTCCTTACCAGTAGAATGAGAACAGTGGAACCACCTCTAAGGAGTTGAGATGACTCAGTTATACCTTCTGCAAATATTTATGAAATGCCTAGTGTTGAAGTTAAACCCAAACTCTAAAATAGTTAAAGAGATTTATTCTGAGCCAATGAGTGACCATGGCCCATGAACAGCCTCAAGAGGTCCTGAGAAAGCGTGCGTGAGGCAGTGCAGTTACAGGTTACAGGTTGGTTTTATGTGTTTTAGGGAGACAGGAATTATAGGTAAAATCATAAATCAACACATGGAAGGTATACTTTTGTTTAGCCTAAAGAGGTGGGATATCTTGAAGCAGGGAGTTTACAGATTTTCTGATTAGCAATTGGTTTAAAGAGTCAAGTTTTGTCTAAAGACTGTCAACAGAAGGAAATTACTGCGTTAAGGGAAAGGTTGTGGAGACCAAGGTTCTTGTTATATGGATGAAGCCTCATAGGCAGCAGCCTTCTGAGAGAATTGATGGTAAATGTCTCTTTTCGGATCTTAAAAGGTATGTTAAACTCTTGTTTAACCTCTCCTAGATTCAGGAAAGACCTGGCTGCATTAATGGAGATTCTTTACACAAATTCCACACACAAAAGATGGCTTTCCAGGGCCATTTCAAAATATTTCAAAGAAATATATTTTGGGGTAAAACATCTTGATTTCCTTCAGAGTCTGCTATCTGTCATGTGATGCTATATCAGTCAGGTTGGAGTTTAGACCTTACTGCCACAAAGAGTGTGTTTGTGAGTCTTAGGATCTTTATTTTAATGTTAATGCTGGCCAGTTGTGACTACACTCCAAAAGGGAGGGGGTACAACAAGGTGTGTTCCACTTTGCTTCTTGTCCATAGCCAATAATTCTGGTTTTTTTTGGTTTGGTTTGGTTTGGTTTTCAGGTTTCTCTGGGGTCCCTTTGGCCCAGAAGGGGTCCATCCAGTCAGCAGGGGATGGAGGGTTTGGGATTTTATTTTTGGTTTACACTAGTATTAGCCTGACATTGACCTAGATACTGAAAATAAAGCAGTAAACAAAGTCCTTTCTACAGAGTCTACATTCCAGTGTGGGAAAACGGCAACATACAGATACACTGATAAGAAATATATTGGTGATAAAGCACTAAGAATAACCCAAGGAAGGTGAACAGAGTGAAGGTGAAAGAGTCAGGGTTTTGAGTTCAAGTGTTCAGAGAAGGCACAGACCTGAATAGGGAGAAAATAACCCAAGTGATTGTGGGCCTTAGGCAAGGCAGGGAATTCCAGGCAGAGGAATCAAACTGCAAAGGCCCCAGGAAGGTTGGGTGAGGACTAGCAAAGAGGCAGTGATGCTGGAGCAGGGAGATGATAGGAGAGGCCAGTGTTCAGGTCAGATGTTGGGAGCTGAAAAGGCCAAAGGGATTGTGACCAACTCAGCATTCCACTGGAGGCTATATGATCAAACAGCAAACTGTTTATCACGAATGCAGGATGTGAGCAAACTCACACTGTGCCTGCCACCAAAAGGTTTGCTGAGAGCTTCACTCCCTGGCACCGGACTCCCTGAAGTTATCTACTGAGAAATCTATTGCCTATTGTTCAAAGGATACAGCCTGGCAAGGCTGCTGTGAACCAAACAGCTGACTATTACCCAACAATCACCCCCCACCACCACCATTTATTGCTATCTGTTTTGCCTAATAAATATGGAGGGCTTGGCCGGGCGCGGTGGCTCAAGCCTGTAATCCCAGCACTTTGGGAGGCCGAGATGGGCGGATCACAAGGTCAGGAGATCGAGACCATCCTGGCTAACATGGTGAAACCCTGTCTCTACTAAAAATACAAAAAACTAGCCGGGCGAGGTGGCGGGCGCCTGTAGTCCCAGCTACTCGGGAGGCTGAGGCAGGAGAATGGCGTAAACCCGGGAAGCGGAGCTTGCAGTGAGCTGAGATCCAGCCACTGCACTCCAGCCTGGGCGACAGAGTGAGACTCCGTCTCAAAATAAATAAATAAATAAATAAATAAATATGGAGGGCTGTGTAAAGCTCAGGGCCCCTGTCCACTAGAGGCAAGGTGCCCCCGACCCCTTCTTCCAAATATACTCTTTTGTCTCCTGTCTTTTATTCCTGCGTTTGCCCCCTCTTTGTTCAGTCCCCCTAGGTCCATGCAGGTTACAAGTGGCGCCCCCAATCAGCGACAGAATCAGGTGCTCTACAAAGTGGCACCTGAACAGGGACTTCAAGGATGTGAACAAAGAAGGTCTGCTGGAGCAGAGGAACTGAAATTGACAAGGTGAACAGGGACCCCAGGACAAGTCTGCTGGCAGCAGATATAAAGTCAGTGCCCTAAAGAGGTACTGGGAGCAGTGCTT